TTTAGGCATGATTAAATAAAATATCTATACGGAATCCGATCAACGTTGAGACAGGCGAGATGAGAATGTTGTGTGAAAGCGAACAGAAAAAAACTTGAGCAGTGCGGGAACTATACTCAGAATGAAAATGTCTCCAACATTTCTGGGATTATGTTGACATTTCCACCAATCATGAAGCTCTCACAATTAGCACTTGTACTCATGGTAACAATTTGAAAACTTTATTTTTGTCTCTATGTGTCTGTCGCGTGTCCATTTCACACTTATTCAATCAGGCGTCTATCACCCAAAGAAAACAGACATTGCATACACAATACATACACTCATTTCTTGTATACAGCCCCAGGACGGTGAACACATGTGGACACGGGAAGCACTGCACACAATAATTGACAAGTCTCAAAAAGCCAATGCGGCTTCTATTACAGGGTTTTGCAAGTTTCAATTGTTGTAATTTTTTGACTTGATACATTGTAACAAAGTCGGGGTGCGGCTTCTAATAAAAGTGCGGCTTCTATTACGAATTTTACGGTACTTGATTCACATCGCTTTTGTTTACCATTTATGTACATTCCTTTTGTTATAATTTGACAATAATTATTGTGTTAATTGCAGGAGGATGTCAAGTCATTGATTACACATTTAATAGAGACTCACTATGGTGTATTTGAAAAAGTAGATTATGTACAGACGTTCAAAGTGCTCAAACTGAAATATGAACAGCAGCAGGATAGACTCAATGATAAACCTATATTGGATAAGTAAGTCAAAGCAGTATTGGTGTGTGTGTGAAATGTATTATTTATAGGTATATATTTTAGAAGTAAGTCTGAGAATAGAGCAGTTTTGGATTATGTGTGTGTGAAACGAGAAATGTATTATTTATAGGCATGTTTCAGAGGCCAAATCTGATTGTGTAATTCTATTTGTGTCAAACAGATTGTTTTAAAACATGTTTCACCATATGATAGTATACTGTAGTACATACAAAACCACCACCAGCTACTCGATTGGAGAATGCGTCACAAGAAAAGTCGCCGTATTTTCTGTAGTTTTAGCCTGAAATTTAGTCCATTTCTATTAGAGATCCATTAAGAGATGTGGGCAATTTTTAAAAATATTCAGTGTGGGTGAAAGTCAGAGCTGTCATTGTTTGTAAGGGTCATAGGCTTATTTCTAAAATTCTTTGGGTTAGACGTGGGTAATTGATGCCAAATGGTAGTATGTAATGCATGTGTGGGATTATGCTGGGAAATGGTGTCTAGTTAAGTGGTGATGTACCATCTGTTAGATCAAAATGTGTCTAACTAGTTGTATAGTGTCCCTTGATAAATTACTAGATTTCTTAAACATTTGTGTTTTTTCTGACAGTAGTATCCACCAAGCTGCCATCCTTCACAACAGTAGGTTTAGACGAGATCCAAGGTCACTAGAAGAGGAAGAAGAGATATGGTTTGAACAAGAAGATGAACCAGAAGATGGGGAAGCCATAGTACCAGTGGCTGATATGCTCAAAAATAAAATGGAAGCAGATTTAGATCACATTAGTAAAATTATTGATGGAAAGAAAGGTAATTACACTAATGACAATGCAGCACAATATTGCTACTAAGATGAAGTATTGTTCAAGCCCTGATTATTGGTCAAGTTTGGACAAGGTTTGAAAACTAGACTTTCGCCTTTGTATGTGGGTGACTTTCAACCAATCAAGTTCAACCTTCACACATACATCTATACATTTTTGGATTCAGGATGACCAAATGGTGCCATTTTAAAATTCATTCAAATCAAATCTGGTCTCAGTTGTGCAAAAACAAATATTGTTTGAACTTGGTACATACATTAATCGTAATACTGTAGAATACTTTTTTTTCGCTTGGAATTTATTTTCGCTATTTTCGTTGAAGGGATGATTCCATGAAAATAAAATCCAGTGAATATACTTTTTTTTCTATCTTTCACATTAAACTCATCAAAAATCAGCAAAAATAAATTCCATACAAAACAACCAAAAAGTCTTTTCAGCGAAAATTAATTCCAGCGAAAATAAAGTATTTCACAGTAGTACCTTGGTGTCTGTAATTTTGTATTTTAGGTCAAATAAAAATGGCTGACTGGCACTCGTTTTGCTGTAACAAATGCCTGTGTTTTATGATCCAATCCAAGATGGCCAAACAGTGTCCATTTGAATGCTGAAAATCAAGCATTTGCGGAACAAACACATACATGATGTCAATTTCAGATTAAACATGGCTTACTGGTTTCTGTTTTGTTAACTATTGTACAACTGTCAGTGATGCTAATGATCTTTGTTGATTAAATTTACAGGACATAATGATTTAGATAATAAAGATGTATACAGTAATACTACCAGCAGTACTAGACCTAGTAATCCATTGGTGAATAGTAATAGAACGTCATCACCTCCTGCTACACCAATACCAACCAAAGTAGCATCACCTCCATCACCTGGTCTTACGCCAAATAGCATCACAAGAAAAGTATGTATAACACCTAAATATTATTGCTGTTTCAATTTGTGCATTTTGTTTCAGATAGGGGCTTGTGTATTGTTGTATATACATGTATCTTGTTTTTGCATTCACATGAAATTCAGTGAGAAAGATCGAGATGGTGGGTATTTCACATATCACCACATACAATGGTTAGTGCCCACACTCATTTGGTAAAATACTTGTATTGTTTTCAGACTGGCATTGTAGGATTGGTGGATTACCCCGATGAAGACTCGGACGAGGACGAGAATGACGATGATAATTCACCTCCAAGTAAGCGAGTACGCTTGACACCATGAAGACTGATGATCTGAAATTGAAATAAGTAAATGAGCATTCCAAACGTGATCAACAAAGCTGTTTGCACTCTGTAAGATCCTCTCTGGATGGTCTTTTTTTTAACCTGTTTCTTTTAACTTGTTTTCTGCAGTACAGCTTGTCATACATCTACATTTATTATTTAATTCAGAAGTTGCAACACTTGCTCATTGTACAGGTACTTCATGCTAGGATGCTATCTTACTTGTTTCAAGTATAGCAATACTATCATTATCAGAAAGAGATTTTTATTTTCTGGTTATGTGCAAACAATTCAAACTCCTTAAACCCAAAATGCAATCAGGGAATTTCATGGAAGTCTTTTGTATGTGGTCTGATTTCATGTTCTTAATCGTATTTTTTAAGTCTGCAACATGTCTTTTAATTGGTTATTACTGCGACCTAAAACAAAGTGACATACTTGACTGTTGATCACTAGAAATTATTGAATTATGAGTCGTGATGATTGAATCAGTGAGTAGACAGTAGTCTGTATTTTTTTGGTAGTAGCCTTCTGTTACATACATGTTTTTAAAACTATTTCACAGTTATGTCTTGTCATAATTTTGGGGTCTTTGAACTGTGCTTGTTTCACATCTTATTTTGCAGTACAAAATAATGTGGCAATGTGTATAAATAGGCCATCTCAGACAGGATGACCATTATCCAGTTATTGAATGAAATTCTAAGAATGAAGCTGGAAGCAAGTGTGTAATTTTAAAAAGAACTCTTAATTTTAAAACATGGCTATATTTAGTCTATAGAGTGTGAAAATATAATGTTTTGTAATTTATTTTGGTCCTGATCAATAGAGATATACTTGTAGGCAAGCCAAGACACTATTATTAATGATCATCTCAACTCACTTTGTAATATATATTTTACATTTTATATCGAAAAAAGAAGAAAAAAATGTCCTGTAATGTCCTTGTAATTATTTTTTAATTTTTAGTACTGGCACTCTTTTTGGCTGTACTCTGGACCAAATGATGCTTCATTTCCCCACTCCAGTCTGATAATGGTGGATGATATAATATCTATTTAAATTACTGATAAAAATGAATCACGTTTTGTGATTTTTGACCCTTTGCTAATCCCATGCCGAGATAGTGTTTTAAGTAATCTTCCCAACACCTGAAGCAGAACAATACTTTCCAGTTTGTTTGCAAGTCTGTCTTGTTTCAGATTTGTTAATTTGGTGAACAGATTGTACATGTATTTGTTGCCATCACTTGTTAGTGTACAAAATACTGAAATAATGTAACTAAATCCTGGCACCTCGCTGCAACATACTGACTGGTTCCTTATTAAAAAATCCATCCTATTATTCTCCCCTGTCATTTCAATATGGTAGATTATTTAATCTTTTATCAGGCCTATGTTGTATAAACTTGGTTATCTGGCCTTAGCAGCAAACTCTTTGTCATGTCATATTTGTTGTGGTGATATTGCTTCCTACCATCCTTTATTATTATTAAATATTATTACTATACAGACCATACTGAGTTGAGTGTAATGTAACAATCAGGGCAGTTTTCAGTGAATTTACTTATGCTGCAGGAACTAGAACGTTGTATAAAAGTGTTGTACAAATGAAATGTCACTCTGGTTCTAAACCCTAGAATAAAATATTTTTGTATGTTTTCACAATAGATTTTTCAGATCTTTGTCTGAGTTCTGGAAAGTAGATAACTAGTATTACTTTTGTAGTTGTGTGTGTTCTTTTTTGTATACAGTATAAAAGACCAATGATCCATCTTCATTGAACACTGCTCTGATATGGTTTTCTGTGCCCACATCCCAAAGTCAACACTACCATTTTATGTGTAGTTTCCTTTATCTATGGTTGCAGTTTTTTGCAGCCAAGACAAGGGATTTTTAAACTATAAACCATAATAACCAAGTTAATCTCATAAAATAAAAAGATTCTTTGAAATAAGCAAAAAATATAGTTTTGTTTCTTTTTGGTATGAAAGCGTGACATGCCCTGGATGGATGGATGAATGAATTAATGTTTGGACTGCATCTCTAGATAGACTGTGCCACCCCATCTTTGCCAACATTTATTTGGCTAAAGCCTCAACATAAACACTTGGCAGATTTCACCACGATTTACTGTACATGTCGCACGCCCTCAAACTATTATAAGGATTCACTTCGTCCATTTGCATCACCCAATCAGAACTAACTAAAGAAACTACACATTACTTAGTAAAATTTAAATGGCGAAATCAAATAAACGTGTTGCTAGCTTTTTCTCTGAACGCGCTTACTTATCATCAAAAGATAGCGCTTAGTGCTGTATCTGAGGAAAATGATGTGTTAGTTGCAAACACAGTCCCTCGACTGTGTTGCAACGAAGACCGAATTGTGTTGATGTTATCAGTTTCGACAGTTCTGTCAGTTTACTAAAACAGTTTGCACAAATATTTAGACATAACATCATTTAATTGCCCACAAAGAAATTTTGGAAACGTGTCAATGAATATATACTTTGTTCTTTACTCCGGGTGAATCAGTACAAAGCCTACACTCCACTATTGTGATGAGCTCCCCGATCTTCACATTTATGATACAGTAACTCTGATTGGTGGCGCCAGATCGTTGGCGTGCCCAATCGAATGACTCAATTTAACTGCAGTGAAATGCAGCTTTTCCTAACATGATCACGCACGGGTTTGTGGGCTGGTTATGAATGGCCGGGTTTAGCGAAACTGTGCGATTCGGACGATGGTGCCACCCTGAAATTCAGTAGATTGATTGATCGGTTGATTAATCACAATTACCATGGAGCTTGAAAATAAAAATGTGTAAATTAAACGACTGCACAGATGACCTACAGATCTGTTTGTAAAAATGTGTAAATTAAACGACTGCACAGATGACCTATAGATCTGTTTGTAAAAATGTGTAAATTAAACGACTGCACAGATGACCTATAGATCTGTTTGTAAAAATATGTAAATTAAACGACTGCACAGATGACCTATAGATCTGTTTGTAAAAAAATGTAAAGTTGCACTCCCACTTCAATACGTAGAAAACCTCTGAAACCAACTGATTTTATCGTTTTTCATAGTAATCAAAATAAGTGGAAGGTGTTCTGCATATAATACTTTATTTGCTTCAAATCTGAAGGTAGCATAGTTCTGTCAATAAAATACCAATATCCTAAAGTAATACTAATCTGCCACACTTATCAGTCGTGCATTTCTGCTCACTGACTATGTAATTATCGAATCAATAACAAAATTCGTATCAAACTGAAATGTTGTCGAGTGTTTTAGTTTGGAATTATTCAACTCAATTTACACATTCAGTTCATGGTGATCACAGTAATCAGTGGGAGGTGAGGCATATATTGCAACTTTAGGGAAGTATTACTAGTGTCCAATAAGTCAATGATTGTAACGGATATGTGTGAAAATTTAACAAGTTTGAGAATCCCCCATATTTTACTCTGCAACACAGAAATGTGAATAAAATCATTGAATCTAGTCACTGATAGAGGGCGATAGCCTGCAACATTCCATTGCCACATACTTTGATGAAAAAGCTTGTCTTTTAAGAAATATACAATCAAATAAAGCTTAGAACCATGTGCTGAGGGTAATGGAGGCAATGATTGAAGACATAAACAGATAATGGAAATATTGAACAGTTACGATTAGCCCATTGCTTATACAGCTCGTGTGGTTTGAGATTAAAACTTGAATTTATGTATATATCAGTGCAATACTAGCAGAGCCTAAACTTGTGAGGTTGAGATTACCACACAATATTTCTAGGATATCCTATACTAATAAGGAGTGTCTAACAGTGTCAGTCAACCTGTATTGCATTTACAGTGCACACTATCAATAATCTGAATGTGAAGAAATATTTCCCTTCAATATGTATTTTTGAAAAAATCTCCAAGTATGACTTAAGACAATCTTCAAAAAAAAAAACAGTGGGATGCAACAAGAACAAATTGTAGACTCGGTGACACTCAGCTGTCTGTGATACTGTAAAATGAATACCATTCATCAAACAGAATAATACGCATTCCACACAAAAAAAATGTCAATAAGCAGTAGACTGAATATGTATTTAACTGGTACCCTGAATCCACCTGGCTTGATTGGTCAGGAGAGGGCGCTGTCTTTGGATACCATTGTGCTAAAAATGTTCAGAACTGACCAGGTTTTATGGATGGCGAACAAATCCATTTAAATCTATGGTAGTATTTTCGGGAAATACTGTGGAATACTTTATTTTCGCTGGACTTAATTTTTGCTGAAAAGGCTTTTTGGGCATTTTGTATGGAATTTATTTTCACTGATTTTTCACGAGTTTAATGTGAAATATAGGAAAAAAAGTATATTCGCTGGATTTTATTTTCACGGAATCATCCCTTCAGCGAAAATAAATTCCAAGCAAAAATAAAGTATTCTACAGTAGTGTCCTCTTTAAAGTGAGAAACTATCCAATGCTTCAGTTTTAAAAAACTTAGCAGTAGGCCATCTCAGATTATAAAATTTTAAAGATAGCCTACATACAAAAATGTGATATGATTCATGTATAAATCTCCCATTTAAAAATAGTGAAGACAGACAATATAGAAGGTTTTATTTTATTTGGCTTTCTCAGCATTAAAATCACGTAGAAACGGCTAAATTGACAAATACAATTTACATTCATATGACTTGCCATATATGATTATTTACTGTAAAATCTATTGGTTCATTTATGTCAAACTTTGGTCTTTGTCACAGAGCACAGAAAATTAGCTGAGCAAGTGTTGGATCAGAAAACAAACATTCATACTTGAGTTGTATGCATTTCAATTTACCAAAACAATCTGGTAAAATAGTGTAGAAATTACACCTTAATGACTCACTATACTACATATCAAAACTAGTACATGTAAAAAAAAATAAGTTACTGTATACAATCACATGTGAATTAATAACACTACTATCCTAAAATAATATGCTAAGTCTTCACCGAATAATAACTACAGGTATAAAATGAAATAGCTGAGAAAATTATGATTAGAAAATTATGAGTGACCAAAGTAAGCTAATATATGTGTAACTGGAGAAAAAAAAACATGAAAGAGACAAGTTTGTGTACAGTGTACATACACCAGTCTGATAATCAGAGTACCAGCCATTATCATATAAGCAACTGTGATATTATTTGGGATCAATTGTTTTAGAGCCAACAATATTTTGCAGTATACGATCAGCAGGAATATGTTTTGTTTTCTATTGTTTCGGAAATTCCATTCCGAAATATTTGCATACAATTTCTAAAATGTTTGCTAATTTCAACATTACATATACGAATTTAGTGAGTACTTTGCATAAATCAGTAACATTTGCTGGTTTTACATACATTTTATGTCAGTATTTCACCAATGCAAATTGTTTGATGTTTGACAAACATTCACGCATTCCTTAGGTCTTCCCCACTACTTTCATGCTCGTCTTCTCAATGTCAGTTTCACAATTTCTGTGCTGTTTCAGTTGCACATATGATAAATAGATCATTCTCGACTAATACCGGAGATAATGTGAGGTATTTCTCAAAAATCAAAAAAAATTTAAATATTTTTTCTCATGCTATACACTAGAATAATATCAACATTGCTTGTCACAATATCTCAATTATTAACCACAAATAACCTCTAACAACTTCCAATAACTAATGTGCTTTTATTTATTACCCAACTATCTACGTAAAAATATCACATATGTAAATGCTAAACAACAATCTACACAATGTAAACCTTAAAAATAAAGCCTAAGTTCAAGTTTTGCATTTCATGATTAAGTAGATCCTTATTTGAAGTCATTAATAATATTAAACAAATGTACACATCTTTATTTTGCATGAAATCCATCGTAAAGTAGAAATATTGACACTTCTGTTTGACCCTTATTTCAATGACCTACATACTGATTGAGTAAGTCAAGCTGTAATTATTATTAAGTAAATAGGAATTAAAGTAGGTTTTTATTTTTTGTTGATAACTTCTTCTTTAAGTCTTGCTGCCAATGCTTGTCTCATTGCAAGTTTTTTCTGATCTTCTGCTGATATTGGTGCTGCTTTTGGTTTGCCTTCTCCTGAGAAGACAATAAAGAAGTATTAATTTCAAGATATGTTAATAAAAAACGTATATGTGTAATAAGGCACCCCGAAAAAATAGGTTTTCCTTTCATCATCGCGCACTCCGGTTTGAAACACCTTACACCTACACCTCACACATTTTAGAATTGGGAAATATTTTGTTCTCTATTTCAGTGATTGTTTTTTTTTTGCTCTAAATCAGCCTTTAATAATGCATCAGTTTGTTGGTATTGAATAATCTACCTAATACAAAAAAAAAATTAAAACTGTGTCACAGCATCATTTTTCAATTTTTCCTAGGACAAGAAGCAAAACCATTTTTGTTGTTGGTCAAATCACTGCTCTAGTATAATGCATTAACGGTACCCAGGCTTACCTTGTGTTGCTTGTTTTGCAGCTCTAGCTGAACGAGGGCGCTCTCTACCCTGGGATGAGGCTGCAAATGAGTCTAATGTTTTCTCTCTTTCTTGCTTTTTCATTGCAAGAAGTTTATCACGTTGTAATCTAAGATAATCTTCTCTACGTTTCAGTTCAGCTGCATCACTGCTTGCAAGCTGTTAATTCAATATTACAGGTATTATGTGTTATTGAACAAACCAAGAAGTGTTAAGTACTAGCAAGAGACTACTGTATTCGCTCTATAATATCTCTAATAGTAACACACATAAATGAAAAAAAATGCATTCTGGATAAAAATATGATTATTTTCACCATAGACAGATCTCTTATTTTTTAGATAAAGCATGTGCTACTTACAGAACAATGCATTTCTATTGCTTAAATGTGTGTATTCCTAGTTGGAAATGATTCACACACTGCCCTCACATTTTCGCAGGAAATACACTAATTTGCATATATCATGCCACTTCTGTATACCCTGTTTTAGTCACTATAAACTTCCAACAAATCAAAAGATGGCACATATCGATGGCACATAGGTAATTAATATTCATGGGTATAGTGAGCCATTTCAACCATTTATAAGTCAATTGGAATCATGGTTTCTATTCAAGGCAAAAAATAGTTAAAGATATATAAAAAAACGGTACACATGTAGTAAAAAAAGTTTAAAAAAAATCCATGTCATGTGACAATCATCACTACAAAGAGCTTCTCCAAATGTCAAAATAAATAAGATTTCAGGAGTAAGAAAATTCCAGCAGCAATTGTTGAAATACAAGATTTATTGCATGGGAATGTTGGTTAGCGAGTTGTTTAGTCCTGGCAATTTTTAGGCGATCGTGACATAGATCAGGCTTTGAGAATGGGTAGAAATTTCAATGAAAAGATAAATAACACTGTGTGCATCTTGAAGATCAGACTATGGCCGGTCAGACTATAGTCAGGTCAGACTATGACCAGGTTAAGGTCAGACTATGGCCAGGTCAGACTATGGCCAGGTCAAACTATGGCCAGGTCAGAATATAGTCAAGTCAGACTATGACCAAGTTAAGCTCAGACTATGGCCAGGTCAGACTATGACCAGGTTAAGGTCAGATTATAGCCAGGTCAGACTATAATCAAGTCAGACTATGACCAAGTTAAGCTCAGACTATGGCCAGGTCAGACTATAGTCAGGTCAGACTATGACCAGGTTAAGGTCAGACTATGGCCAGGTCAAACTATAGTCAGGTCAGACTATAGTCAGGTCAGACTATGACCAGGTTAAGGTCAGATTATAGCCAGGTCAGACTATAGTCAAGTCAGACTATGACCAAGTTAAGCTCAGACTATAGCCAGGTCAAACTATAGTCAGGTCAGACTATGACCAAGTTGAGGTCAGACTATGGCCAGGTCAGACTACGACTAGGTTATGGTCAGACTTTGGCCAGGTCAGACTATAGTCAAGTCAGACTATGACCAGGTTAAGGTCAGACTATGGCCAGGTTAAGGTCAGACTATGGCCAGGTTAAGGTCAGACTATAGTAAAAAATCCATGTGAAGACTATTATACGGTTGGTCACATGGTTCAGTGTAGTTGTTTGTTTATAAACTTCTAAGCAAGCAAATACAGTAGCTCTAATACCATTATAAAATCTTATGAACAATTGGTACATTATAACACCAATCCATTACTGTGAATGATTTCTAATAGAAATGACATAATATAACTAACTTTATTGATGCAATACAGATCCCCAAATAGCAGCTCTTCACAATTGTGATGATTTATAACCCAACCACCACCATATATGGCATACTGTGATTACTGTAGATGTATTAATATTCACTGATGTTTAATTTTGCTATTTTCATTAACCGGTATAATTGAATAACAATAGAACTCATTGTTTCCTTGACAAGTTCATAAACTTAAAAACCCTGTGAAATTGCTCAAAACATCAAAATAGTGAAATTAAATGTCAGTGAAAATAAATGATTCTATAGGATGTTACATGCATGAGTTATACCATTATTAATGCAATTGGGGTGAGAGGGGCAATTGTCCTACCTTGTTACTGTGCTGCTCAGACTGGGACAGAACAAACAAAGAACACAAGAGACGAGGTCATCACAAAGGGATTAAAAAAAAGAAAAAGACATGAAAAGAAGATAAATAAATGAAAAGCACTAGTGAACTGTAATCATAAAAAAACAGAAATAAGAAATAAGTATCAAATAATATACTCATAAAAATAAGATGTGAAACAAGAATACAGTATTTGCTCTATTACAAGCGCATCTCAAATAGAAGTGCACACAATTGTATTTATTTTATACTGGACCATAAAAATATGAATATTTCGACCATACACCTCGGCCATTTATATAAGCAATTGTGTCACTAAGAGAACAAATACAATACATGTGGTTTTCAGGGAATGTACTAATTGCATCATTCTGAAAGTATTTCATTGTTTCACACATAATGGGAACAAAAGAAAATTAAAGACGAGACTTTTACATACATGTACCCATACATGTACATGCTTACATGTACTTCCAATTAACATAGTTACATATAGATTATGGTTCAATTTGAATTATTCTCAGACAGATTTGAGGTTTATATTTTGAGGTGTAAATACACAGTACTAATGTAAAGTAACTAAAACCCTTGCTTAGTTAAATGTTTCAGAATGAAAGGAATATATTACAGCAGTTCTGAGAATATTCGAATAGTCAGATAGCAAGATGACTTGCAACTTTGCGAAACACTTTGTTCTAAGCTTGGCGGCACCATTTAACTGATGGAGTGCTGTATTTTATAGTGGTGGTAAACATGATATTCATATTCAATAACAATCCTTCATCTGTGTATCTACATTGTATGTAATTCGAGGAATATTAAAACGCATAAAAATAACATGTTTATGTATTCAAACGATTTATTTATTTATTTATTTAACACTTTATTTAAAGAGGGTAGGCCAATATACAATAAAGTAATTTTCATTGGGCCCTCTGTAGGGACAAAAAACACAATATACATATTATAGGCTTGAGCCATTTACAACAAATTTTTCACTCAGATAAATTTTGTAAGTTTTCTTAAAAATGCCTAAAGAGGCTGAATTTCTGATATGGAATGGCAAGTTATTCCATAGGGTTACCCCTCTATACTGAAACGTCCTCTGACCCATGGATGTTTTCCATTTAGTAATGCGTAAATTATTTTTAAGAGAGGAACGTGTACTATACTTGTGGGTTTGGGAGATAGGACTGAACATTTCACTTATATATAAAGGCGCCAAGCCATTGGTTGCCATATACATTACGATACCTAGATAATATGAAATTCTGTAATCGATAGGCAAGATACTATGTTTTTTGAACAGTTCAAACGACGATTGGCTAAAGTTGTCAGAGGAAATCACACGAACTGCCCTTTTCTGAAGCTTATACACCCGACATAAATTTGTATTGCCCCATACTATACAGCAATAGTCCAATAACGACTGAATAAATGAAAAATACAATGTTATTCTGACGGAAATAGGTAAGAAGCTGCGAACTCTCATAAGAACACCAATTCTTTGGCTAAGCTTTTTACAAAGCATATCAACATGATGATCCCATGATAGAGTTTTATCTAAAACCACCCCGAGCGACTTTTCGAAACTGACTGTTTTAATTATTTCACCATTGAATTTCACCAGAAAATCTTCACCAATATTATTTAGCCTTTGACGGATCCAACAAGCATAGATTTTGATTTAGATGTGGTGATTGACATGTAATTGCAATTAACCCAACGCAAAATTGGCCAAACATCATCATTAATGC